AAACTAGTTTCAAATAGCTTTACAGTCTACAACCAGGAGATATCCATGCACCATATGACAATTTAAGTGCCACAGAGTGGACTCCGAGTAACAACAAAGCCGAGCACACGTGATGGTAAAAGCATTTGATGTGGAGTGTAACGGCAGAATTCAAAAGAATATTCGACCAAAGCCAAAAATAACCTGGCTTGATCTTTGGATGGACGTTTACAGAAGAACAGCCAACTGCACTGCTTAGCTTCAACAGTAACTTAGCAAGAGATAAGTAAATCTGCTGGAGAGTCTGATGTTCCTATTGAGACTACTTCCAGAGTATCAACAGATATAGCAACCAGCTTTATATTCTCTCGAAGGAGACGATAACTACAAAAGAGAGAACAACTAAAAAGATTTGACTACAGGACAACTTAGACACTATATATATCGAAAAAGAAACAAATACTGACTTAAAATCATAAATAATATTCAACGTTAAACTGGTACACAATTAAAAACATTAATTTTAACATTTTATTACATGTAGAGTCGTCAACTTTTTGAAGGCCATAGATAGGCCTAAATAAAATGTTTTTAAATGTGTACCAGTTTAATGTTGAATATTATTTATGATTTTAACTTTATACAAAAGTGCCAAAATACTATAAATACTGACTTGTTCATCAAAATTAAGATTGAACTTTGTGTTACGTATATTTTAGTACTGACTCAATAATTGTAATGATAGATGTGTGAATATTAATTTTGGTAATTATAAAGAATGTTTGCGTTGATATGCTAACTTTGGAATTTTAAGTTTAGTGTTCTGTTCTTTTCGGGGGTAATAGGATTGTGGTCAGGAGACTTCACGAAAGAGAGACACTATTGTAGGTTATGTTTTTAATATTTTAATTTAAATGTTTGAATTGTTCACTAGAGAAAGTTTTTGGCATGACGTTTCGAATTTTCATTAAATTTGGAAAAACGAACATTCTAATAAAAAAACACGAGTCACTCAATTTGTTATTAAGTTGATTCGGTGTTCTAAGTTTGTAAATTGTATTTCAACAATGTAATATAATTTGAAATAAAGCAATGTGTACGTGTCTGTACACATAAACACTGTACACGTTGTAAATAACATGTTTATAAATATAATGCACTTACAAAGAATTAGTTTTCATATTCTATGGTTCATGTATATTATTTATTTTGGCATTCAATGCATGTAATTCTTATTTTATTCATTAATATAATTTTTCTTTTGCATTGCTTACAGCTCATAAAAAAATACAAGTTTTTACTCCATAAATTTTGCAAATTATTAAACATCAACATAAATTTATAGTTTATAAAGAACAAACAGCGTACATAATTTTTATTATCCTGAATGTATATATATATATATATTTATCAAAGATGAACACATTATTTGAAGAAATCAGATTCTAAAATTAATCTGAAAGATTTGCTGTGAAGTCATTTTTTCCAATTCCGTGTATGTAGAGTTACGTTTCCAATTCTTGTATAAGCTGAATAAAATCAATCTGTAAAATTATTTAACATTAATCAAATAGTGTGATCAAATATTTCTATTTTTTACGTTGCAGATCTATGTAAAAAAATTAACAGTAATTAAATAGTGATCAAATATTTCCATTTTTTAAGTTGCAGATCTATGTAAAAAAATTAACAGTAATTAAATAGTGATCAAATATTTCCATTTTTTAAGTTACAGATCTACATAAAAAATTAACAGTAATTTAATAGTGTGATCCAATAACTCCATTTTTTTTAAGTTGCAGATCTACATTAAAAATATTTAACAGTAATTAAATAGTGATCAAATTTCCATTTTTTTAAGTTTGTTATAGTTTATATTATATGTGCAGGGATGGAGTATCAATAGGCACAATAGTACAAGTGCATCAACACCTTTAAAACCAGTGTGTCTTGCACTGCTAATATATTTGTACCATTGTTTGAATATTATATTTTCACTTCCCAAGTCAAACAGTCACATCTATGAAAATTCTGTTTTTGTTGCTATTAGTCATGCATATATTTGTTGGAGGTGTCATTGATTTAGGTTGTAGTCTAGTAACATTTTCGGCCAATGGAGAAATTTCTTATCACTCCTAGACATTTTACTTCCTAGAGTCCACTGAAAAATGGTGGGAAATTTAGTTTTCTTAATTCATTTAATCTGTTGTAAGGAGATGAAGTTTTATCATGAAAGACTTTTTAATTATTTGCATTTATGACAATACACATGAATTTTGTGACGTTTATATTTTATTTATTTACATTAATCAGTTATTCATATTTATAAGGATGAGTAATCATGATAGATTAAATTAGTTTCAATTGCTTTCAGGATGAGTAATCATGATAAAACAATATATATATAAATTTAATAAAAGGCTTGTTGTTTTTTTGTCTCTTGTTTGGTCTTTGATATTGTTTTGAACAACTCGGAAGTACACCGAAGTAAGCATACTTGTACCTTAAACATTGTATGCGAACCTGTCTCACTGTTAGAGACAAAATATCGTACAGAAATAAATCTATTATCTCACAAATAGTTGTTTCAAAACTTCATACTGTTTGCAAGTTAAACGGGTACCTCTTAAAAATCAAGTAAAATAATGTTCACACCTGAAATCTGAGGCTCTCCTTGTCTTAAGGTGTGCTCAAAAGATGTGAACATTATTTTACTTGGTTTTTAAGAGGTACCACATGAAATCTGAGGCTCTCCTTGTCTTAAGGTGTGCTCAAAAGATGTGAACACTATTTTACTTGGTTTTTAAGAGGTACCACATGAAATCTGAGGCTCTCCTTGTCTTAAGGTGTGCTCAAAAGATTAGAACACCTAAACACCCTACATGTTCTAAGAACCAAGCAATCACCAAACCAATACTTATTTTTTCTCATCACAAATTCATCTACTTTATTGATGCACCATCAGCTTACAGAGTCACCCACTATCCCTGCTTGGGCATGTGTGTAAAAGAAATAAAGGAATTTAGGAACAAAGAACTAGCAGTAGCGATAAATATAGGTTGACTAGAGAAAAAAATATACTTTAAATATTTTAACATTTTAGGTGTACCTTTGCAAACAAGTTTGGTTATGTTATTGTTAAGCACAAAATAACACAAACCGCTACCTGTGCTGTGTCCATCGCAAGTACTGAAGTTCAATTATTTAGTTCATGCATGCCCTCACATGTACTGCTGAGCCACCAAGAGGACTACCATATCAATCAAGTGTCCAGTTCAACTTGCTCGAATTTGGTCGTTATTTTATTTTACCACGGTTATTTGAAATGAATGCAACCTTGGCATTTTGCCTTCTAAATATATACCCTTTCTTTTCAAGGTATCATTTCACAGTTAAACAAATGAATTTTGATAACTACTAGTGTAAATATAATAGAATTGTAAAAACAAAATGATGAATAACTCGTTTGTAAATAACAGTATGCTTGAAAAGTTATAAATGTTCTTGTTTTCTTCATTAAATTAATAACTTGTCTGGCTAAAGAAAAGTTTATATCAAGTATTTTTAGGGAAGCCACTGGTATTTTGATATTCATCTAGTTTTTTCATAAATAGAATTTCGTTCTTAAAGCTATTAAGTATGGTATAAATTTCCAAATAAATATAAAAACATTTATGATAAAAACCTATTTATTTTATATCCATAATATGATATAAAAGTCTTCATCATTCCATCTTATGTAGATTTTCTTCTATATTTTGTTGACTAGGTTGTGGTTCTTTCTGTAAAAATAGAAATGAGTTATTTAACTGTTCATTGGGTTGTAATTATTTAATTATCAATAACACAAGATTCAAAGAAAACTTGGAATGGCTGGGCATTAATGTGTCTTTTACTAACATGAGTTATTTAACTGTTCATTGGGTTGTAATTATTTAATTATCAATAACACAAGATTCAAAGAAAACTTGGAATGGCTGGGTATTAATGTGTCTTTTACTAACTACTTTACATTTATTTAAGGATATATTTGTTCCATTAATGTAATTTATTATTACTGCACTTTTGTAGGCTGTTGTGGTCAGGAGTCTAAATTGCACTGTCACAGGCCCATCATTTTGTATATCAACTTGCATGTAAGCTCTGTCATAAAACATGGTCATACGACGACAACATAAACTATTTTAATAAGACTGAATATATTATCAAAACTGCATGGTCTTTCACTCATGCTCTGTATTTGAATTACTTAATAGAAATAATATCAAATAATAATAATACTCGATAATTTTAAACAAAGCAGAATATTGGATTAAAATGTGGATGTTGGACAAATTCTGTTTAGTCCAGGGTTTACCAAATTGTGGGTCATAATCCCGATGTGGTTGTGGATTAAATTGGGATTGCAATTAATGATTCTGACTTAAGTTTCTTCTTCTCTCTAACTATTCTTTTACGTAAAAAAGTACAGGACGTTTTATGATTTTACATATAAAATTCTATTACTAGTTCTATCAATTAAGAAATTGTTTGAGGGGAAGGATAAAAAGAAACATTGTTGATTAATTTGCAATCCATCCAGGTATTTTCTCTGATGTTTATCCAAATTTATTACTATTATTATAACATTAAGTTGAATTCGAATACGTAACTTATACTAAATATTTTAAAACTGATTAATGAATAGAGGTCATATCAACGATACTTGATCTTACTGCAGTTTGTAAAATAAATATAATTACTTTCACATGCTCTTGTTCGTGGAATATATTTCTTTAAAACTCTTAATGAAGTAAAGGTGAATATTTCTCCAGAAAAATTCTGTTTAAGTCAAATTTTTGTCACCTTACAGCAATTAAGAACTTAAGATTTTGGTTATATTCTTCTTCATTGAGCATTTGTTTATGAGTGAAATAAACAAACCATTAGCATATAGAACTTGGTTTTTTGAAGTTTAATCCATTTGTTTTTTTACCCTAGAAACATGGGCATGAATTATGAATAATTTATTATTACCACACCTTTGTCGGCTGTTGTGGGCAGGAGTCTAATTGCACTGTCACAGGTCCATCATTTTGTATATCGACTTGCATGTAAGCACCAAATACTCCATCTACATGAAAAACATGAAAGAAACTATTGTTTATCAGAACTTGTGTGCTACAAATTCAAAAAAAAGAAGTTAAAAGATTTTGTTTCTTTAATTTTATTGGTATATATAATATAATTGTAATAGCCTAATTTCTGTCTCCTCTAGTGTTGAGATCAAAAAGAAAATAAACTTTACAGTAAATAACTTTTTATAAATGTGTTCCAATGAAATTTCCATAAAAAACAAGTCATTGTACAAACAAAACAATAGGGGTTTACAAGTTTATTTTGACTGAAATAATTGACGGCTAAATCAAATTACATTACTTTTCAATCTAAATACTGTGCATATACATGAATCTCAACTTGTTTCTTTACTTCATTCAATTATATTTTTCTAACATGTACATTTCAGTCTTACTATCAAAAATGTTAGGTAAGTTTTTCTTTCTTTATGTTTTAGGCCAATATTTCCTAGTATACAACTAGTATCCATGAAAATCAGGGGTATCACCAAGAGGAAAAATTAAAAGTTACAAACCTTTAATGATTTGTCTCAAATAGGTTTCGAAGCATTTGTGATATGGGGAAGGAAGATAGTGTGAGGAGACCAGTTTATCCCTTTATATCTGGGGATTTTCTTCCCATGGCACAGTATAAGTTTTGACACTGAAATAACTGACATAAGCTGGCAGTTTTTAACCCTTAGGCACAAAGAAAATAAACTAAAACGAGTATACAAATGAGTAATTACTGGCAAGATTTCTCAGTAAAATGAAATGACTCTCTTGTAAAAAGTTTCTGTACCTTTGAAAAAATTTCATTACGCATTTTGGATCATTTTTTAAACGTTACACTTTCTTAATGAAATCCTTATCATAAAACACGGTCATACGATACCAGTATAAACTATTTTAATAAGACTGAACATATTACCAAAACTGCATTGTCTTTCACTCATTCTCTGTATTTGAATAACTTAAAAGAAATAATATCAAATAATAATACTTGATAATTCCAAATAAAGCAGAATATCAAAGTTACACTCATACTAATGAAATCTTTGGTATCAATGTAACACACAATGGCAGCAGTCTTTAATACTTTCTTACCTTTACATAATATTAGTTGATTATTTCCTAGTTTTGAAGTTCACTTTCAACATTATCATTCACAACTCTTTTATTTCTCTATTTTGCAGTTTACATTGTATGGTATACTTAAAGGCAACAAACTAGATTTTCATCAATCTATGGGACCAGAACAATCTCAAACCTTTTATCAAGAATTTTTACAAAAGCTGAAAGAAGCTTATGTTCCTGAAAAGGTGAAAGGTGGGTGAGACAGAAACTTTATGCGATTCGTTTGATTATTTAGCACAGTGGTTCTCAACCTTTTCACCATCAGGTAAGAAAGTATTAAAGATCGTTTGATTATTTAGCACAGTGGTTCTCAACCTTTTCACCATCAGGTAAGAAAGTATTAAAGATCGTTTGATTATTTAGCACAGTGGTTCCCAACCTTTTCACCATCAGGTAAGAAAGTATTAAAGATCGTTTGATTATTTAGCACAGTGGTTCTCAACCTTTTCACCATCGAGGACCTCTTTTATTATTCATATTTTCCCCATGGATCCCATGTTTTTGAAAGATTCCGTCTACCTAACAAACTGATTTTTTAACTAATAATTAACTTGTTTTCACATTTTTCACCATCAAATAAAAGACATTTATAACAATTAAAAAACATATTTGTTTACTGAAATGGTATTACTTTTGCAGACTCCCAAGGGTCTGGGGACCTCAAGTTAAGAATCCCTGCTGTAGCATATGATTAAATTGTTCCTAATATCTTTCAACATGAAATTTTGTATCTGAACTTTTCTGTTTGTTTTTATTTTTACCTAAACATTGACTGTGTTTAAAAAGAAATTAGTGAATAATCATATTTACTAAATTAAAGGCTCAAAGCCCAAATATTTGGATAAAATTAATATTTTGAATACATGAAAATCCATATGCACATACACATACCAGGGCAAAAAATATTTGGTGTTTCGACTTACTAATAAAACCACTACAGGAATGTTTTTAAAGTCACATGTAAATGTTATGTTTAAATTACATTCATAAGCTAAAAACAGTACAATATACTACTCATCTCAGAATACAATATTAAACTATAGGAATCGGACACACAACCACCACCTACACGTGTGTATTCAGTGGTTATTTTTGGAAAGCAGCAGTGCATTTGGCCATAGCTTGATGAGGTCTCAAATTCTAGTTAATTATATATAGTTGCAGGAAAAGTCCTACATCACTGAAATGTCTTTTCTGAAGAAAAATATTTGTTTTCTTATTTACCAAGGTCTGTTATGCAAAAAACTAAAATTTCCAAAAATAATCTATGCATACTCAAGTTACTATTTCATAATAATTAAAGATGAAGTTCTTCCTGTCCAAATAAGAAAAGAAACTGTTACATATACAAAACAGAAAGGTGCAAAATGATCATAACTAACCTTTTTGTAAACTTATAATAAACGCCTGTCAAAAATTGAAGAATTCTGAATTAAAACTATGAGCATCATCAATTGAAACTTGTTCCTAAAAGCTGAAGTATACAACACCATTTTGTCATAGATTTGTGTTACCAGATAGGCAGAATATGAATATCAAATGGTGAACTTAAGATAAATATGGCCGATAAGATACTATCATTCTATTGGCTGAGTATAAGAAAACGAAAGTAAACAGAGGTAGAATGAGAAACCTAGAAAAATGCTCGTGTCTAATTTTTGCAATGTGACACATTGGAAGCAAATAAAAAACCACCATTAAAATGGGTAAAGAATTGTTTTTTTGTTGTTGTTTTTTTAATTTTGCGCAAAGCTACATGAGGGCTATCTGTGCTAGCAATCCCTAATTTAGCAGTGAAAGACTAGAGGGAAGGCAGCAAGTCATCACCACCCACTACCAACTCTTGGGCTACTCTTTTACCAACGAATAGTGGGATTGACCGTCACATTATAATGCCCCCATGGCTGAAAGGGGTGAGCATGTTTAGTGGAATAAGGATTCAAACCTGTGATCCTCAGATTGAGAGTCAAGTGCCCTAATCAACTGGCCATAACTGGTCATGGGTAAAGAAACTACTGCTCCTAAAAACAGTGAACAGACCAGTGTTACATCTTTCTTTTACAGGAAGTGAAGAAACCACAGTTTCAAATTACAGAGACAATTCTACAATAATAATAATATAAAAAGAAACAAAAAGAAATGTATATGATTAGGGTGCTCGAGCTAAATGGCCAAAGATTGAGTTAATGGTGCAACAATTGATAGCCAAAATGGATCCAGTACAGCCATAAGAATTTGCCTTTCACAAAGATGGTAAGGAAAGAAAATTTACATATTATTCTATAGAACTAGCAATACTTACAGATGACACTGGATAAATTAAGACACAGGAAGTTTATAAAACAATTTAAGTAATACAATAATGATGTTCAACTATACTGAATTTGCAATATGCAAGATTAAGATAAATATTTATAGAATAAAGAAAGATTGTATATTGTCGAGTGTAAGGTAATATTGTTTTATTGAAATTGTTTCTTTTACCAGGAGTTCCAGATCACTATTGGCTTTGCTGAGAATGGAAAAATTGGAAAAACTAGACTGGTAACCTATTTTTCTCTACATTGTTTCAAAGAGAAGCAGGACTACTTAAGGGTTTTTTGTGTTTTTATGGAAATACTCCTATGTTGACAGGCTCTTACTGTTAGATGGCATTTGGACTTTCTATCAGACTTTACAGTCTCCACACATGTAAAGATATACAAACCACGAGCACTGGGAAATTAAGAAACAAACTTGAAATGCATACAGCAAGTTTAAAAACTACCCTAAAGTCAACTTGTTGAGGGTAGTAATGATTTACCACGTGTTTAAGTTGATTTTTTTAGGATTACTCTTTGTTTGCCAAGGTATGGTAGATATGTATACATATAGTAAGTTTGGTTATTGTTAGTAAAATGGGTAAGTTTGTGAAGTTCTTGGTAAGAAAGGTGGCAGTGATTTTTCTCCATAAATGTTGTGGGAAGCCACTGTTTCAGAATGTTCTGTGGCATAGTACATTGACACACAATGATTTATAAGCATAATGAAGTGGTTATATTTTGATGAAAGTGACAGAAATGTCAGAATGAAGTTTCAAGTAGTGTGAGCATACAGTATAGGCTCTGTCTAGTTAGCAGAGAGCAAGGTTACTTTTATATGTAAAGTTCTGAAAGTGTCAGAGGAGTACAATTAAAGTATTTTTTTTTGCCCTGAATGTAAAGATAAGAGAAAGTATCTAGAAATGGTATGAAATTGTTCGTTTGAACTTCGCAAATGAATTTAATAGTGGTATGCTACGAGGTATTCTAAAACTTTGAATCAGTGATTATGATTACAAAAAGAAAAAAGTATCATATACATACTTTCTGTTTAGGACAAGTTTAAATTTGGTAGGGCAGATGTTCAGAAATTTAATTTCGTGGTAACAGGAAGATTATAAAATAATTTAAGTTATACAGTAATGATGTTCAACTACACAGAATATGCAAACTGTAAAGTTAAGTACAGTGTAGAAGCAGAACTACATGTATAAATAAATATTCATTATCAAAGCATAGAGACAGCAGACCCTCAAACAGTAACAGGCATGTTATCACTGAATTTGTATTTAAACTCTATGGTACACCACTACATACAGTTAATAGAGGCCAACAGCTGCTACAGCCAGCCATTTGGGGGTCTAGATACTGTAAAAAAACAGTGCTCATGAATATTCAAAAATAAATGAATAAAGCATTGATGGTATGAGTGATCAAAGAATTTTGGTCAATCTACTTATGCTAAAATGAACTTTGGGTAATGTACTGAAGAAATGTTTACCATTCTAATGTGTAATATTAGCCTTACCAGTCAAAACTAATCACTTGTTAATTTGTGTGAACTTTATATCATAGTAACTTGAATTTACTGCTCCCTGCATAGGGGTCCAAATTACTAGAAACAGGAACTTAAAAATACAATGAAATTAATTTTAAGAACATTTATTTAAAAAAATTCAATTTTAATAACATATTAATTTGTTATCTAAACCTTTGATTTTCAAAACAAAAATTACACAATCTCTTCTTAAGTTAGTGCTGGAAAGTTTCCATTCAATCATCCAAACCACTATTCCAGACAAGTGTGGTAACTTACTTAAGGATGCAGAAGAGCTAAAGTGTTCCCTAATATTTGTCAAAATTATCAACGGTTGTGTAAAAGATCCAATTATTGGAAAAAGTTTCCAGACAGGAATTTACCTGGAGACCAATTGTCAGTGTTCCAGTTATAGATAATGCTGTGAATTACCCAAATGAATTCCTAAATTCTCTTGCAACCACTAGGTATGCCAGGACACATTCTGAAATTAAAGGTTGTTTCACTAATAATGTTGAATCTCATGAAAACCTGTTTATATTGCCAGAAGAAGGAACAACAGTTAATTTCATGCAGTCATGAACTGTTGGGTGATGAATGAATTATTGTCATGTGTTTGGTCTTATTTCATAATTTTTCTCTCTATATAAAAGTAAAATTGTATGTTTGCTTGTCCACTAATTTCTCTCACACTAATTTATTAAGCACCACCAAACTTGCCATGGTTACTTCTACTGTCCCCTGAAGTAACATGAAGGGGCAAAATTCCCATCAGGTTTTCCACAAAAAAAGTTTATTTAGTCACCTAAAACTAATTTTGTAATTTTAATTCAGTTTCTACCTTCGTGTCACTCTCCTTTTGGTAATACGCAAACAGTGTACATCGTCGCTTAGCAACAAAACTATCATGATATTGCTGTTAGGCCAACAATGGTGTTTATATTGAACGCGTAATGTACCTGTTACTTTGTGGCTTATTCCTATTTTCTCTGTTTTTTAATAACTTGGGTGATATAAAAGCAAACAGTTTAATTCAGAAACTTGGCATAATGCATTTTTGAAAAAAACATTTTGTTAGATATGCTGTTAGGTATGGCATAACCCATTGTTTCAAAAATATCTTGGATGTGCTGTTAGGTATGGCATGATGCATTGTTGCACTGAAAAAAGTTTTATTTTTTCCTGTGAAAATCCATACAAGGAAGTAGTGAAGCAATCCTCTGAATATCATAATTTTTAAGAGCATTTATGACTATATTATGAGTATACGAAATCCAAACTGCTTAAAACAGGTACAAACCAAGATACTGTCCCAACTCACTTCATGGTTAAGATGATGCAGGCATATCTAAATGGTTTGCATTGAATCAAAACACTTCTATCCAAAGCAAGTAATGAGTAGTGGAGTTCTTCATTTAACATGATTGTTTTCTATTGTTTTTTCAGTTTCATTCTGCGAAACACAATGAGAGTCAATGAACAGCTTACTTGTGCTATCGAGCAAGTAAAGAACTCTGCACAGTAAATATTTACTGATACCTAACAGCACATCCAATACACTGTTTTTGCAACAATACATTATGCCATACCTAACAGCACATCCAATACACTGTTTTTGCAACAATGCATTGTGCCATACCTAACAGCACATCCAATAAAATATGTTTGCAACAATGCATTATGTCATACCATGTGCTGTTAGGTATGACATAATGCATTGTTGTAAAAACATTTTATTGGATGTGCTGTTACCAATAAAATGTTTGCAACAATGCATTATGTCATACCTAACAGCACATCCAATAAAATGTTTGCAACAATGCATTATGTCATACCTAACAGCACATCCAATAAAATGTTTTGCAACAATGCATTATGTCATATTTAACAGCATATCTAATACAATGTTTTTACAACAATGCATTATGTCATACCTAACAGCACATCCAATAAAATGTTTGCAACAATGCATTATGTCATATCTAACAGCATATCTAATACAATGTTTTTACAACAATGCATTATGTCATACCTAACAGCACATCCAATATACTGTTTTTGCTAGCCAAGAACCCAACCCTGAATCAAATTAAACTGATCTCAAACATTTTGAAATGCTGATTGAGAACAGAAAGGATTGACTCTAAAATCTTTTTACACTTAGTGGAGTGATATTTCTTGCTCTCAAAAGCAGTGGCAGAATATTCCATCAAATATATAACTCTTGGTGGTATCTATTACTAGTGAACTCCAACTGGAATCACGACTCCTGTAGTGAAACATAACACACACACATTCTCTTACAATGGGCTGTTATAATACCTCTGGTAATACAGATATAGTGTACATTTTCACATGAATATTAAACTAGCTATAGGACCAGCAAACTAAAATTTCTGCAATCCAAAATAAGGAAAATAACAATTGTTTTACATCATTTCTCTCAAGTAATTAACATATAGGTTGTACTCATTTTGGAACATCGCATATTCCTTTCATAACAGTATTACACAAGACTTAATTTACCAGCAAACAATACAAACACAAGTAGTATAAGTATACATCTTTACTATTTTCAGATTATAATTTGTCTTTGTTATAATTACATCAGTTAGTTAGTTTGTAGAATAAAAACCTCTTAGAAAGTTACTGAAACTGTGACCAAAACCTTATGAAACAGACAACAAAAAAGTCAAATTAAAATCATTTCTGGTTCACTTACAAATACCTTTTTGTGACTGACTCTGACACTCGGTTATTCTTTTCACCTATCAGCATACAAATCAAATGTTCTGATGAGCTCATGCAAATTTTTAAATTCTGGAAGTAGACTGGAATACTCATGAATTTCAATATATGCGAAAGCATTTGGTCCCTAATCCAACACTTTCTTAAAAGTAAGCATAATGGTTCAAAGGCAAATTAGAATCAGTTAAGGTAGAAGGAAATGGAGAAGCAAAAAGATTCCTCAAAATGGGGAAATTCCATGATATGTCGCTCAATTATTGCATGTGTTCCAAAGCCTAGAGTCAATATACCAAACCAGTGATAAAGTCGTTAGATAATATGGGGGAGGCCACAGATGGGGGTGCAGAAGAATCACAACCCCTCAGAAAGATCACCATATGAAAATAGTTGAACCTCTTAAAGTGTTGCAAATTGAGAAATTACTTTCAAAATGTAACAGGGGGTTAGAATTTTCATACAGGTAGTTTGCAGTCTGCTTCATGAGGCTGGTGTAGTGTCCATAAGAGCTTTAATCTACACACTTCTGACAAACTGATACATTCAGGAATATTTAAGATGGGCTAGAGATTATGTTATGTGGAACATCAATAATTGAATAACAGTTCATACTGCTGGCAACTCCAGATTCTGTCTCAAGTATTCTGAGGTAACATGATGATCATTTCATGTCACAACATGTTACAGAACACAGTAGATATGGAACATGAACTGTTGTATTGAGGGCTAAATGCAGCATACAGGAAATGGTGTATCTCCATGCCATCCAAACCAGTACCCTCACTTTATGATAGTGAGACCTCATGCAGGTGCAGTCAGGTCAAACTTCATTTTGTTGACAACAATGACCAGATCAAGCTAGAATCATTACTTCTTATCTTCAATGGGAAGAAACGAGAAGGATGGACTAGTCTTCAAGAGTTGACCTGAAGCATGTTTGGAACATCCTATGGAGGATGAAAACAACCCATCCAGTTTAATTCAAATCTCTGTAGAAATTCCAATACTCCCTTATCCAAGAATGGGCTCAGTTTCCACAACAGTGGATTTAGTGACCAATTAGACAGCTTTCTTCTCTTTCCTTCATACTAATAACAGTACATGAAATTTAGTACAGAGGAATCTAGCTTAAGACATGATAACTTTCTGGTCTATGTTAGTGTTTCTTGAAGTCTTACACTTTTGTTTATTATGAAGGATAACCACATTTCACAGTAGACAATAATTCTAATATTGAAAAAAAACAGCTATTTTGGTTTAGGAAGGGTGTTAACTGGATTAATTGCTGCTTGTTTTGAATAAAAATATCCAAACTGTATTATGGATGTAAAGAGTAAGAAATACAACAATATATATTTTATTATTTAATGTCTATTAGATTATATTGATTTTGTATCCGTAAGAAACTTTTTCATAATAAAGCACTTGTCTACGTCAGAGGCAAAGTGCAAGCTACATGATCTTTGTGCCCAGTTTATGTCTTTCACTGTCGTTTTGCTAGATCTTATTTCTTAACCTGATTGATGTTTTAAGCACAAATCTCATTTTAAATTTTTACTTTTCTGAGTTACACACCTGACTACTCAAAGTTTCAAGCTTTTACCTTTCTGACTTTCACATATGATTCAAAACCTCTACTTACCTGACTTTCACATAGGATTTAAAAACTAATTAACTGACTTTCACATAGGATTAAAAACTGCTAATTACCTGATGCTCACATAGGATTTAAAACCTCTAATTATCTGACTTACACACATGATTTAAAACCTCTACTTACCTGACTTACACATAGGATTTCAAACCCTTTATCCTTAATGCTGTGGTTCCACCTCTTTCCATTTGCATCATCAAATAGTCGCAGGTTTAAAACCTTTCTTACCCTATTTATAAAAAACAAGTTGAACATTTTGTGATTATTTTTTGGTAGCAACTTTATCAGTAAACAAGGAATATTCCAGTTTCTTATCATACTATCAATTACATGGACATGAGAGATTAGTACAATTGCTCTTGGAGAGCCTAAATAAAAACCTTTTACATAAAGCTCAAAGCTTTCAATGGAAAATGAAATAGAGAATGAAGAGGCATAAATATATAGTTACAAAAAAGAAAGGCCAAAAGAAAAAAGAAGACTTGAAGTAACCAAATATTCATAACAAAAATTTCCCACCCTGGTAAAAAGGCCCAATCAACACCGTACTTGAAACGACCAAGGGAGGAGGTTTCTGGAAAACTTCAGTGGGAGGTACCAAGAGAGGAAACTCATGAAACTACTACTGATGAGAAGTTTGAACAGTGGAAGTATAAAACTATGGGTCAAAACTGGCAAAACAGGACCTACAAACTTCCTGGTGACAAGAACTCTAAGATTAAGAAATATTAGCAACTGAAGAACTAGTCAAGGTAGATCTTTTAGAAAAAAACTGAAGAATGAAGAAATAGGTTGAAGCATAACTCAAGATAGAACAAGACTGAACAATAGTATAATTGAGTGAGGGAACAGAGATATCTGTAATACATGTGTGAGGACTTATGTTGATTGGTTCAGCTCTGAATCCAAACCCCAGCCACTGGGAAGCAACATCCACGTGGGGGTAGGATGAGGGATCTCAGTCGAAAGGGTGAACTTCAGTTCTGATGGCTCACTCGAAATCTACAACATTCCTTCGAATAAACCCATACAGAGATGGAGCATAAGATTGGAGGACATCTCATCTTCTCCACCAGCAGAACAACACTCTCCAACTCTCAACTGAATGGTTTCATCATTGTTTGTATCGTATATAACTATCACATTCAGGAGGATGCCTCCATGGTCCACCACCCCAGCAGCTTGGAACTGGAAAGCGATAAAGGGCTGGAAGAAATGCTGATGACCAAGGTTGATGTAGAAGGGATGGAGTAAGACAAAGAGGTAATGGTGGGGCAGATCGGAGCTGGAGCAGCAACTGAAACCACACTTGTGCCGGCCAGCAAGGACCAATTAAAAGGACATGACGTGGAGTGGTGTGGATGATCAAAATCACCATGGGAAGAAGATGGATGGGAGGAGACACATAAAGGTATTTGTTACTCTAGTCATGGCTGAATGCATCATCAGCTAGTGCAAGTGGATAAGGAAGCGAAAACCAAACAGAGGTAATTTGGTATTGAGGGGCATGGCAAACACATCCAGGTGAGGATTACCCCACCAAAGGAATGGCCTCTAGAAAATGAAAGGATCAAGATTCCACTCTATCAGATAAACTTTGTCGAGACTAGACTGCAACTAGATTGAATACACCTGGAACATGGCCCGCAAGACAAATACCAAGCGTGTGGGCCCAAAAAAGGAAATCCAAGGTTCAACCACAAAGGGAACAAGAAAGGGTGCTGCATTTGTGAGTGATATAAGCCACCACCGTAAAATTGTCGGAATGGATCATAACCAGACGATTACTGGCAAGATGAAAAAAATTATCCAGAGCATGATGTATAGCCAGAAGCTCCAAGATGTTGGTATGGTAAAATCGCTTGACCTGAAGTTTCCTACTGATCAACCCACACCTGAACCCCAAATGCAAGGGAGTTAGCAGAATACACGCTGATGTGGGAGCCCCATCCATCCACCAATGCAGATCATCAACAAGAGTAGGAGGAAAGGAAAGAGGAGTCTCTAATGGATCCCTTGCAAGGTTCTACTGGTTGTGCAAGGCCCACTAAAAGAGATCTCATATGTGCCTGACTGAAAGGAATAAGGGCTTCCATAGAAGACCACATCAAAAAAGTGATAGAACCTTGCAAGCAGTAATAGAGGGAGCTGTAAGGGCATGGAGAACTGAAAGATCCATTGAATGTCATCGAAGAGGAGAATGTTGGGCCTGACTGAGATGAGTGTTGATAAAAACACCAAAGTGGACAAGATATTGGGTAGGTATAAGGAATAACATCTCCAACTTGATCAACCAACCCACATGAGCTGCCTCCAGGAGCAGCAGATGAGTGTGATGGGTAGACTCCTGTCTGGAATGAGCTAACAGAAGCCAGTCATCCATGTAATGGTGTAAGCACAACTCCTGAGCTTGTATATGTCAGGCAAAAACTTTGACCACTCGACAAAAGACAAACGGGACTAAAGCAAGCCCGAAGGTCAGGGTGCAAAAGTGATAAACTACTTAGTGATGAAAAACTAAAGATAGCACCTCAACAGACGAGATATTGGAATATACAGATAAGCATTTGCAATGTCTACTTTGGTCATCCATAAACCTGGAGAAAAAGCCCAACTGAGGGTGAGAAAAGACTCCATGTTAAATTGGGGCAGAACCAAAAAGTGATTGAAATGGGACAAATAGATCACAGGCTGCCAGTCCCTGGTTTTCTTGGGTACCACAAACAGCCTGGAATAAAAACCTGGAGAAGAATGAGTTACAAGTTCGATGGCTTTCTGGGAGAGAAGATTTTGTACAACTTCTGACAAATGGTAACTGGCGGTAGGATCCCGAGGTAATGAAAAGGATATGGCTACCAAAGACAACAGAGGAGGGGAAAGGAAGTAGATGACAAGTCCCTTGGATAATACCTGAATAACCCACTGAGCTAGGGCTAAAACTCAGGAACAAAATCGGTCAATCGAGCCCTCACTGGACCAGAACTCACCAGGTAGTCTTCGGTTCTGTTGGTGACGTGTCCATCAGCATCGAATAATATGGTGATAGGAGAAACCCCTGGAGGTAGTAGCTGGGAAGGAGTTGGATGGGAAACAGTAATAGGGGCTTGTCTAGGCTCAAAACAAGACAAATGATTAACCAAAGATGAAAGGGTCAATTGCTGTCTAATTGATACTACACGGGATTCCAAAGTCTCAGGAATATTTCTGAAAAGAGACCTCCGGGTGAAAGGGAGCCATATGCAAGTCTCAGAGATAAGTAGGTGGTAAATGAACTTGGGACAATACAGTATCCATCCCCAGAAGATACCAACAACAGAGAAACCATGTGTGTAAAGAACGAGTTGAAGAAGACAAACATGCCAACATGGAAGTAATCAGGAAGAGTCTATCCCTCAAAAAACCCTCAGGATCACAGTGGGGTGCCTTGGAAAGGAGGTGGATAGTAGACAAGTACTGTAGGAGAGTTGATAGGGTAAGATGAAGATGGGAAAACTGAGTGTGGAATAAATGAACAGGATGATTAGGGTCTGCCCCCACACAGACAAAAGCAATTCCAACTGTTGTGAATCAAGAAATAGAAATTCAGCCTGATGGTATAATAAAGCAAACTGATCTGAAAGCCGTGGAGGGTGAGGCATGCTAGTACCCTCAACCAAATGAGAGACAAAAGCTCTGCATGAACCCTAATATCCAGGGAAGGGGGGCAACACAAAATACTGAGAGGAGGGGGTATCATGTAACAAAGAAGGAAGGGGATTGTAAGAAATCGGGGAAATGGATAAAACAGAACACACCTGAGAAATCATGTCTAAAAAAGCCATATTAGACCTGGCTGATTCCACAGTGGGAGCACAGGAAGACATGGCAAAATCAGGTGGAGGAAACAGGCTGACATATTCCTTATCGGCCCAAATAGGTTTGGCACATCCAGGAGAAATATGAGTAACATCAAGAGAAGCAGGTTGTCTCATATAATGATCAGTTTCATGGCAGATGGGAGCTGATAATTCCATAGTGGAGTTATCCACACTTGCAGCCTGTGTAAATATGCTGGTAGAAGGTATTACCTCCAACATGGTAACTTGAATTTCAGAAGTCACTGTTAAAAATGAATGATCAAAGACAACACTGTTAGAATAAAGAAATGAAACTGGGAAAAAAATAAGTTATCTTTAAGTTTGAAAACTGTTTTAAAATTAAGAAGAACAATTTCACTTTAGAATGAATGGCAAAAACAAAAAAAGCAATAAATTTAAAGACAAAAAACATGACTGAAGAGCACAATCAAAAATGTCTTCACAAGAGCATTGCCAAATGAAAAGTGATAGTTCAGTGGAATCGAATAGAGGAAGCCACATGGGTCAGGAGGGCGTGTTGCAGTCCTATTGGTCGAGGGTTGTCACACGACGATTTACATGGTGGAACCACATTGAACATAGAGTACGTGGGAGCTCAAGGCTTGTAGCATGCATGTAGAACTGCCATAGGCAGGAGAAGACCCTACTATTCGTAAGTATGGTGGAAGGAATCTTTTTTGAACTTCATGACATTGAATGAATAATGCCACAAGTGGGATGGTATGAAAGATCTGGTTACCAATCATTGTACTTTGATGTTTTTATACCACTTTCATCTGACGGTCACAAATATGGGTTGACAATTATACAGAAATTAACTAATTTTATATATAACAAATAAAAATTTTGAAAAAGAACCAAGTATAAATTAGACACTTCTAATTGAGAAATGCAGGCAGTAATTTCTCTTTTTTGTAATAAAAATCATAATAACTATTTACATGATGTTATGATGTTAGAATAATTAATCAGTTGTG